AAATAAAAAAAAATAGATCTTTCTAGAAAAGATGATCTGGATGCCAAAGGTGTGAATGTATTTCCTTATTTTAAAATTTCTAATGAAAATAGATAAAAGGGGTCAAGGTTAACCACAGTGTCTGCTGTCTGGCAGGCCCTGTGCTGGGTAGTTCTCTCACATAATTGTAGCATGTGCTGGTGAAGAACAGTAATGTGCTCCTAGGTGACAGCATTTGGACCAAGGTCTGTTGGGCCACAAGGTCCCTGTTCTTTCATGGCTCAACTGGGCTGTAAATTATTGACTTTTGTGTCTTATGTTGTGTCCTGTGAAACCTGGAAACTACTAAAAGCCAAGAGCCTAGCAACTGAAAGAAAAGACATTGTACCCCAAAGCAGGCCAGGGCAGCTGTTGGTGCACAGAGCTCACTTCAGAACTTCCTAGATATCAAAGCAGAGAAAGGTGGAATTGTGCGGTGCACATTGCCTAAGAGAGCAGGCAGCTTGGTTTCCCCCAGATGCACTCTGCCTAGGCCCTTATATAGTGACTGCTTAATAGAGCAGCAGGCAGCAGGTGGCTCTCAGCAAGCATTTGCAGAGCACCCCACGTAGGCCAGGGTCTTGAAGCTCTGGGACCACACTTGAGTGCGGACAAGACTGATAGGATGAGGGGTGATGAGGGTGCAAGCTGAGTGGCGGGGGGAGGGCGCACAGCACAGGCACAGCGCCCACAGTGACCTTTTCGAGGACCCTGGCTGGCAGGACCTGGGGGTGCAGGCTTGATTTTAATACCATCAGGGCAGGTCTAGGGTGAAGCAAGAGAGCAGAATCAGTGGTGCAGTGTAGCCTGCGTGATGAATCTTGTGGGTATCAAACAGTGAGCAGGAGAAGCTCTGTCTGAATGGGTGCAGGTGTAGGAGAAAACGTGGGACACTTTTTTTTTTTTTTTGACACAGGATCTTGCCAGTCTGGCCTTAACTTCACTGTGTAACCCAAGCCGTCTTCCCACTCCAGGCAATCCTCCTGTCTCAGCCTCCCCAGTGCTGGGATTACAGGTGTGCACCACCATACCCAGTTCTCAGCTGCTTTCTTGTCCTTTAGTGTGCAGTGCCGTGGAGCTTGGGGGAGATCAGTAGCTCTGGTCCAGAGCATCTCGTTCCCTTGGTACTTGGCACGTAAATACTGATCATCCGTACTGTGCTGGGCCTGAGGAATTCTAGGGGTAGGAAGATGCAGGGTAGCTCCAGCCCTTCTCTGGGGAGTGTTATTTTGAGCAATAATGTCATCTGTTGGCAGGGCAAGATTATCAACTGCAGGAACATACTGCTGGTTCTAGATGCACTGATGATTACAGAGCGACTCCAGTACCACAGTCTGGGTTTGACTCACACTGTATCAGTTCCCTGCTGTTGCCAAGGTACTTTAACCCTTGTGATCACTGCAGCTCTTGTACCTGAGGGTTGGTTTATGCTTCAGTGCCGAGTGTGAGCTGAGGACTTCCCAGCCTGAGAGAGTTGCTATAAGAAGGACATGAAATAGTAGAATGTCATGTTGTGAATGCTTAGTACCTGTTGTCATTGCATTGACATTATTTAAAAAAAAAAAAAAGGGTGAGACAGTGAAGGCAAATATGAGTTCTCTCTCAGTTTTTAAAAATGAGCTTTATGGGCCACAAGCTAAGGCACAAAGTCACTCCAACTGGACTCAAACTTGTGGGCCTTCTGTCTCAGCCTCCCAGAGTGCTGGGATTACAGGTGTGTGCCACCAACTAGCTTTCAATACATTTTCTTACATAACCAAATTACAAAAATTAACGTAAGGGAATTATCATTTATATACTGTGTTATCTAATTTAGAGTTTATTCATAGTTTGTCAGCAATATCCTTGTATACTAGAAAGAAAATCTTTTTTCCTGGCTTAAAATCTAATGTCATGGTTGACTATAGCCATTCTTTTTCTTTGATCTTTCTTTCTATTTTTTATTACCTTGACTTTTTCCAAAATGTCAGACCACCTCTTTGTAGAATGTCATCCCAGCTTTTGTGATTTGTTCTTAGTTTGCTTTTGGAGATAAGGTCTTGCTATGTAGTTCAGGCTGGTCTTGATCTCACTGTGTGTGTAAGCCAGGCTGACTTCTCTCTCACAGTAATCCTTCTGCCTCAGCCTCCTGAGTGCGCTGAGGGTTGGTTTATGCTTATAGGTGTGGGCCAACACACCCAGCCAGTGATTACTTGTGATAAGATTCAGGTTATGTATTTTGGGTCGAACACAGAAATAGTATTGCATTTACAGGATACTGTAGCTGCTAGCAATTAATGCCGTGTTGTCCTAGTAGTGGGTCTGTTGACCTCCTCCCTCCCCCCCGCTTTGGTTATTTTAGCATTAGCCAGATTCTCCACTATAAAATTTTGGTTTCATTTTGTAATTAATAAACTTTTCATCCAACGCTCACAAGTTTGAACATTTACTATTCCTCAAACTCTCTGGTCTCACTGCCTGGGGCTAAGGTGTGGTTTGAATCTCTTGAGGGTTCATGTGTTGGAAGCTGGGTCTCCTGTGCCATGGAGCTGGAATCTTTAAGAGCTGGGACCTGTTGGAAGTAATGAAGCCACTGATGGTGCTACCTTCATAGGGAATTTTTGAGACAAGACCTTGCCATATAGCCAAGGCTGGCCTTGAACTCAGGATTCTCTGTTCTTGGGCTCCCAAGTGCTGGCATTTATAGGCATGAGCCTGTATTTATTTATTTGCAGTAAGTTATATCCCCAATCCTTTTTTTAAAGAAAATTTTTGGTGGGAGGTGATTTTTAAGACAGGGTCTTATAGTTCAGACTTGACTCACTATACTGTTCAGGCTGGTCTTGAACTCATGGCATTCCTCCTGCCTTAGCCTCCTAGAGTGCTGGAATTATGACATCCTCAATCCATTATAAATTTTTTAATTTTGAAACAGTGTCTTGCCCAGGCTGGGGTCAAACTTGCAGTTCTCCTGCCACAGCCTCTGAGAATGCTGGAATTACAGATGTGCACCAGGGCAGCAAGTATAACTTTCTTTCTAATTTAATATGTTGGGGCAGTCTTTTCATTGGAGCACAGGAGGACTGTGATTTTGCATAACATTTTGGGGTTGGTTTTTGTTTGATTGTCTTTTGGTTTTGGTATTTTTGAAATGGAGTTTCCTTCCTTGGTTCAGGCTAGCCTCAAACTTGGGCAATCGTGCTGCCTGTGAGTGACTCGGAAGTGCTGGGATCAGAGGTATGCTCCACCACATCTGCTTGCATAATTGTTTTTTAACAGCTTCATAGCATTCCTTCTTTGGATTAAAACAAACAACCAGTTGGAGCCTGTCACCAACAATGACACAGTGAAGAGGCATGTTCCAGGGAGAGAATTACTGGGCTCAAGGGCCTGGACTTTTTTTTCTCCTAAAAAAAAAATTGGTTTAAATTACTTTTAAATAACACACACTTTTTAAAAAGGCAAATAATAAAAAATAAAGTGGGGAAAAAATTAAAATCTCAGCACTCCATGACAAGGTTTTTGTGCTGACCTTCTTGTTAGGTGCATACATAAATTCTTTTACATCAGAACCGCCTTGCATGCTATTGTATTACAGGTACATACTTAGCTTACACACAGTGAAGCTGATTTTTAAAAAAATTTATTTTGAAGAGAAATAAAACAAAATTTCAAAACCAGATAATAGGGTAACAGTGGTTACTACATTGCACATGTTATCTTTAAATTAGAGTATAAGATATGGCACTGACTTGTCCAAACAATATTAGCACAAACCTTTCTTTTCAATGAACTAAGAGAAATTCGTATGACGATTGTAACATATTACTTTTTGCTTTTCCCTTCTTTTCTCCATTCTCCAATCCCAGTTTCTCTTTCCTTTTGAACTTTCTTCCCATTTTACAATATCTGTTGTATATCCTGGATCTGAATTTACTCTTTCAGCTTCTTACACTAGAGAGGCAATACAATGTTTACACATGTACATCTGATTTATTTCATTTATGAATATAGTCTTGAGTCGCATCCATTTACCTGTAAAAGTTTCCAAATTATTCTTCTTTATGGCTGAATAATACTCCGTTGTATAAAAAGACCACATCTTTTTTGTTGTTGTTGTTCATTTCTTGGTTGATGGGTATTTGGGTTGTTTCCAACATCTATTACAAATTATGCTGCTATAAACATGGGCGCATATATATTGCCATGGTATGATGTTTTTAATTCTTCTGGGAAGATATCCAGAAGGAGACCAGCTGAGTCAAATAAGGCCTGCAATTCTAGTTTTTTGAGGAATCTTTGCACTGATTTCACAGTGGTTGACGGTGCACAAATATTAAATACCCACCTGGATGCATTTTGATTTACATCAGTTCCCCTGTAACCAGCCCAGCTCTGGAGAGCAGGTGCTGTCCAGCAGACCAGTGGCTTCCCTGGTGCCTGCTACTCAATACCCACGCTCCTCAGTATCATTCTCCCAGTGCATCACTGTAGATCACATTGGCATGGTCTTAACGCTCAGCTGTGGATGGGTCAGATGCTAGGTAATTTGGCTTTGGCGTGTCTCTTTCTACATGTGTCTGTGAGATTCATCTTTGTTATTCCATAGGTATTAGAATTGAACCCAGGGCTTCCACACTGAACTACATCCTCAGCCCTTTTTATATTTTACTTTGAGACATGGTGTCAATAAGCCACTAAGATGAGAACTTGTACTATAACGTCATGTAACTCAGTAGTGTCCCAAATTTTCTGATCAAGGAGATTATGAATCCAAAGAGGAAAGTGATCGATGATGTAGAGTGCGCCTAAGGAGAGTCACATGGAGAGAAAACATTCTCTCAGGCTTTCGCAGAGAGCACATTGGCCAAGCAATGGCCATGTCTCATCCACATGGCTGACACTGACAAAGGTTCTACAATCTGAGGAACAGGATCTCAGGATAAATCCTGAGGGAATTTCACTGACCTT